TGAGCCCAGGAGTTGGAGGTTGCTGTGAGCTGTGATGCCATAGCACTCTACCCAGGGGGATAGCTTGAGGCTCTGTCTCAAAAAAAAAAAAAATACTTATCCTCACAGTGGATGTCATAGTAAGAAAACCTTTATTCTCAGTTCCTTTCTGTGCAATGGCAATGATTTGAGTACATTGTTACTTTAATATATTTAATATATATTATATATATATATTTTTTGAGACAGAGTTTTACTTTGTCACCCTTGGTAGAGTGGCGTGTCATCATAGCACACAGCAACCTCAAACTCTTGGGCTCAAGTGATTCTCTTGCCTCAGCCCCTAGGTAGCTGGGACTATAGGTGACTGCCAACAATGCCTGGCTAGTTTTTTTAGATACTGGTTGGGGAGGTGTCTCACTTTTGCTCAGGCTAGTCTCAAAGTCCTGAGCTCAAGCAGTCCACCCTCCTTGGCCTCCAAGAGTGCTAGGATTACAGAAATGAGCCACCATGCCTGACCCAGCTTATTAATACTTTATTTTATTTTATGGGTTTTTTTTTTGGGGGGGGGGACAGAGTCTCACTTAGTTGCCCTGGAGTTGAGTGCCATGGCATCATAGCTCACAGCAACCTCAAACTCTTGCTTGGGCTGATGTGATTCTTTTGCCTCAGCCTCCCTAGTAGCTGGGACTACAGGCACCCGCCATAACACCTGGCTGTTTTTTAGAGACAGGGTCTCACTCTTGCTCAGGCTGGTCTTGAACTCCTGAGCTCAAGTGATCCACCTGCCTTGGCCTTCCAGAATGCTGGGATTGTAGGTGTGAGCCACCGTGCCCGGCCCTTATTAATATTTTAACCATATTCTAATCACTATTACGAATCCTCGTGTGCTCTCTTATCCTTTTGGATGTGAGCACAACTTCAGAGCATCATTGGTGTTATTTGCATTTGTGTTACCATTATACTTGTGGTTAATACTTTCATAAGGAATGAAGGTTTTCTCATAAACAAGGGTGAAACAATTCGTACATGACAGAGTTTCCATGGGATATACCCAGGCACCCAGGACCAGTAACAGTAAGGGC